AGCCGCTTACGCTATATATACGAAGCGCTGTACAACTGTTCCTGATTTCGTTTTGGGCGTTAATAGACCTTTTGCACCTTTGGTGTTTGTTTTGACGTGAACGCTAGCTTGGGAGGCTCAGACCGAGAACTAAGCTGAGGAAAATACAGTTACAAAAACCACAAAACAAAACTTTCCACTTTCTAAATCGGTGTTACGTGTCGACCAAGGGTTTAAATTAATGACCGAGGGACATAAATGTGAGTTTCAGCCCGGTAGAACTAAGCTGAGGAAAATACAGTTACAAAAACCGGTAAACAAAACTTTCCACTTTCTAAATCGGTGTTACGTGTCGACCAAGGGTTTAAATTAATGACCGAGGGACATAAATGTGAGTTGATTTTCAGCCCGGTTCATAACACTTCAGTTTAGGTTTCTTATTGGTTGTTGTCCGTCACTGGGCTTTCCAGCAACGCTTGATATTCTTCTGCGTTCCTTGGTGGTTTATTCATTCTCATTTGTCCACCAGTCCCGGTGTTTAGTTTCCAGACTATCCCATGTATATCTTAGTTCAGTCGATACAACTCTGGATGGAATTGAGCTGGAACCTCATGCTTGCTGATAAGGCGTCAATTCCGTCTAAATCTAGAGGGCAAAGCGCCCTTTGCCAACATGCGTCACCTGTGGCGTAGGCGTGACATGAGCTTTTCCGTCGAGAGTCGAGTTTACAATCAGTGCGCTCCATCTTACGTGGGTCAGAAGCCTGATCGCTACGCGCTGACGAAAAAAAACCTTGAGTGCCCGGTCATCGGTGTCTTTGGAGTAATAACCAAATTTGATGGGGACACGGGATCAGTTGTGCTAAAGTACGTCGAATGGTTTTCGGAGGAAACAACGCCCGCGACAGTTGAACCAATCATATTCTATAGGTTGTGCTGGTTTGATTACGTGCTGCATATTCCAGTCGACCGACTTTCTCGGATAACCGTTTTCGCAAAACCATGCGTTACCAGCAAACACAGCTACCCTGATCATTGCCGCCTCCCTGGATAGGGACCCTGAGACAGAACATATCAATGGTTAGAGACATTGACAGGCATGGTCAAATGCACTCAATGACGCCATTGTATTCAAGCTATTGCCTTCATTGCATAGTTTCCCTTTCTAATCTCCCCAGTGACATGTCCACTGTCACTTCTGAATGTCCACGCCAATTATATCAGCTTATGCATCTTATGTGTAGCTACCTACCGCTGTCTCCTCTCGAGATTGCTCAGTGGTTAAGACTCAAACCTGCCAACCTATGTCGAACCCAACCTCTACATCTCGACTCCTCTTGTTTAGGCTTGGGTAACCTGGCAGTATCTCAACCCTCGTGCTTTCTTCAAGTAGCATGGCAGCCACATACCGAACGATTATTACAGCTGAATGATTTTTATTTCCTCAGGCCATTGTGAACGAAACCGGCAGCTATAATTAGTGTACAACACGTACGTGATTCTATGACTGAAGATGATGATGCCAACCGGTTAAAGTGGGCTGCATTGTTGGGTATGCGCCTCACACCTACAAGGTGTAGAGTGTTACTGCAAGACTGAGTGGGGATCAAATCCACAGCTCGTACTTGCGCGTAAATTCATAGGTATGGTAAGTAAATTCGTTTATCTAGACAACTTCATCAGCCCCGGCGAATTGGCAGAATACGGACTCACTGCCTGAATCCAGTGGGCCATGGTAGGCCAACCTCTGACGTTGTGCCTACGTGACGTCAATTTGACTGTCGAGAGCGGTGTATAATGGTTAGGTTTGATCCATCTTACTCTATGGATCAGAGTCATGAGAACAGTGTTGAAAATCTATCAAGCTCTGTTTGACAATCAGTCCATCCGAAAGGTTGCCCGGGAACATCGGATCAGCAGTCCTGACTTATTCTAGATGATTTTCATCAGCAAGATCATTCATGACTGAATACACGACAGACTGACTCTCACATATTTTTATGTGTTGGATTATCCTTTTGGTGCAACCACAAATCACTTTAAAGCCATTGTACGCAAGGAGTGCTAGTATGTCCCATTAATTCTCCTCCATATGACATGACTGAAAGCGACTCATAGTGAACTCATAGTGTGAACGATTGCTTAGTTGAAGTCTTCTAACTTCTCTTCGACTTTTTTCTATCCCTAAAGTTTTACGTCAACTTACTGAGGACCGCTCAGTTTCGCCATTTTTCTGAAAACATTATCTGACCATGTGAACCTATTTTCATGTGCTGACATCTTGACTGTTCACTCGAGATTTTTTTCGTTTCAGGCTACCGCCGACAATCCTTATCTTACTAAGCACTTTGCTAACCGAGTTTTGAGCAGTACTCGGATTTCTGAAGCTGAGCACGATGACAATGTCCAGAAGACTGTCCATCAGCGTCGTCGTCGATTGCGCTTATTAGACGAAGACGAAGATGAGGAACACGATCCACAGGACTTTGAAAATATCGATCCTTCCTTAGCCAGTTTTCCCCTTTTACCCTCGTCTATTCCTATTCCGGAGATCAGTGATGATGAAACTGAAGAAAGTTCTGAGGATGAGGAAAAGGAACCTGGATCTTCGGATTCCAGTCGTTCTGAATTTGTAGAATCTGGAGAGGAAGAATATTTCGCTCCCCCGAAATATGGTGATAAAAAACGATCGGGTGAACGCCACCCTGATATTCGTCGTGGTTCACCAACACCTTCAAACGTACGCGGTCGAGCAGAGCCTGAAGTATCCCAAGGTGATGCCCCCAGAGACGAAGGTTAGTGCTCATTTGCGTCGATTTCATCGCTTGATGATCGTCTGCATTTGAATAATCCTGCAGAGGATGACTATTTTGCTAAGCTTCCAACATGATTTTGAATTTCTATTCTACCCTAAGTCTTCTGTTATGAACTTCACAATTCATCACATTTTCCATATGAACAATTATTCTCTCGTTTTTTTCCTTGTGGTCACCCCAAGGACAATGGGCGAACCTGTCTAGTAGGTTTTTCATTGCGGTCAGCCCACACTGATCCAGGAGATCTTGAAATTCGGGTGGATCGGATTCGAGTGGTCCAGTTTACGTGCCTACAGGCATCTGCAACTTTGCTGTAGAACTCGTCCAGAAAGCGCTTTCACGTTGGTCTATACAACAAAAATCACATGTCTCGCTCATCTTAGTGTACATTTGCCGAAGTCTAGCACAACTGGCATGCAAATTAAGTCGGTGCTAACAGAGACTCAACTAAATCCAAGCTGAATCTGGTTTAGGATACTTTTCAACTGGCTGTACTGCATAAAAGCCTCCTCGTGTTTTAGTTGGGAAGCTATTTTATGTATCTTGCCAAAGGTCATACTGTCACGACCTTTTTTATCTCAAACCTCTCCTATCTGAATCCCTTCTCCTTCCTCCATTACGTCATGAGTGTTCTTTTGACGACACGCAGGTCAGGCTGCAGTAAATCAGCTTATAGGGGGTTCTTAAAAATGAATAGCACACGTCACAATACGTCAGCGATTCCTCGGCACTAATGTGTGAGCATTTTAACGTTCTAACAACCAGCTGTTCAGTCACCGAACTTCTATGCAGTTGGTTTCGGCCGCAAAACCATGCGCCCAAGACATGAATTCTTTCCGAAATGGAGAAAGTGTAGAACCCACTTCGAGAGGGTGCGGTGATGCCCCACTTCTGCCACAAACACAGCTAGGTACCAGTCACGTTGTCACAAAAACGTATCATCATATTTTTGAGAGACCCTTCAATACACTCACTGCTAAGTCGTGGCACTGGTTACCTTGTTTGTCACTCTCAGCTAAGCTACAGTTGCTAATCCGTCTGATAGTTCATCATATGCTGTAACAAGTGACGTGTTATCTAGGATAACGTTGTTCTCTGGAACGTTTCTCACAGATTTTGCTTTGCAAGCTTACAGCCTTGATAAATAATGAGTGTTAATTTCGACAAATACACTCACTTGTATACGATTTGGTCTTCACCGGGGACTCACTTGAAACCTAGCTGAATCGCTCATTTATGATATTCTCACTCAACTTAATGTGCTGCATCAGCCGCCTCATATTTCAGTCGGGTACCATTTTCGAGATATCGCAATACATTGAATTGACGAAGTACACTAATCAATGGGTTTCTGAAAACTCTTCAACAGCCCACGATCGGCTCCGCACTTCTTGGGGCTCATCATGTAGAGACAGTGCCCGAATCTCCACTAACCTTGTATTCTGCGCAAACATCAGATTGTAACCACTGACTAGTGACTCCAATGAACCTGACGAATGTGACCACAAAAAACTCATTGTTAACCCATCGGATAGAAACTACAGCAGTCCCAGTACCTGCGGTACGTTTCATTCAAACACAAACATTCAGTGGACAGAACAGTACCGGGTCGCCCTTATTCAGCCGTGACCGGTACCGAGCTCAGAACTAAGCAATATTGCGAGCAACATCCCACGTTTATGGGCTAAATCGACAGAGTCATATCGAACTTCAGTTTAATGTTATCTGAACGCCGACGGCAGTTTAGACACTGTCTCATCAACCTTGTTCTCACTGACCTGTATGTGGTCAATAAGCTCAGTCTTATTTTGTGTGAAATTCTTATCAAGAAAGAACTTTTTTGATAAGCGCGCTGTTCGTCGTTCCACCAAAAATATACATGAAACCGACCACCGCTGTATAATCGAGACGGTTATCTGGAAGGCTTTAGTTGAACTCTGGTACTGTTATCTACTAGCTAGCCGAGAAGATACAGCATCTTCAGAGGAGGTCACCCGTCGAAAGAGCCCAATTACGGCCGGTAACTTGAAATTTGGATTAACTCTCTAGCCCTGAAGAAATAAACCCCAAACCCAAGGTTTTAATAAGATTCGCAGGCACATTTTGATGAAAATCCCGTCGATGAGCGAACAAGGAATCACTGGTTTTGTTTTTCTGGCTTTCTAAAAAGCGTTCTTATTTTCCTGTTGAACGTTCTTCAGAAATGTCATTGAGCTCTATCAGGCAGCTGGAACCAAATGCTTGTTTTTGTCCTCGTATAGGTTTGTTCCTCCAAACGAATTCGGTGATTGGATGTAACGAAATAAGCCTCACGGCCAACATGGTTTGGTATCCTTTATCTAACCACCTCCAGATTTATTGAGGACCTAGGGACATCCATCTGTCAAAATGTTTAGGTTCTTACGAATAAACGCTGCACAGTGAAGGGGCTGCTAACACAAACTGAATGCTGCAAATGGTGCATTGCGAATCACAAGTATGGTGAAAACGGCAAGCTTTTCGGAAACAGCGCTTTAGAAAACAGTGGTATCTTCATGATTCTTTGATTGTTTGCCATGTGGTATTTTGGTTGTCTGCTGCACTCTGGCAGACTGGCTTGCAAACGCTCCGTCACCATGCGGGGAAGCTTTTTTAGTGCGCGGCTGGTTTGTTAATTCCGCCAGTTCTGTTTGCGCTTGTGTAGTTTCTAACGTAGTAGTCAATATCCGCAACATGCTTGGTTGTGTGCGGATCGTGTGGTCCCTAATCTGATTGGTCCTTTCGGCATTTGTGATGCGTTGGTTGGTTCGTTGTGTAGTTCCGTTTCAGTAACTCTACTACCCTATTCCAATTAGGCTCTTCTGCATTTCTTGTTTTTTTTTCGTTTTTTTTTTCGCTTTTGCTACTATTCCCCTCCATAAAAGAAACTGCCCCTCGCCTGAAAAGTTTTGCACTGTCTTCCCAGGTGGCCCATTCAGAGTAGGATTTGAAAACTTACATGGAACGACCAAAGTTGTTCCATTCGCCATGTAATTCTCTCTAAATGGGAGATCGCCATCAAACAATGTGAACTTTTTCTGGTGTGATCGTAAAAGACACGCACCCTCCTCTGTCATGACAAAATACACATAAAAGGCATGTTGCGATGTTCTACGCGCCTAAACAGAACTCACGTACTACGAGCGTTTTGAATAGATTGGGGTCTCTGGAGAATATGGGAATAAGTAACTGTCGGGAAACTGCTAGTTAGTGCGCGGTGGGGCTGAACGTTTTAGTCGAGAGGTTACAGGTTCGGAACTTCTCAAGTTTTTTTCTAGATACGCACTGCTGATGACCCCCACTAAGAATAAACCACCGAATAATGCTTCTCGACATGTCAACATACATTGTCCTCACTTACTAGGCGACATCTCTCTTGAGAAGTCGAAAATCACAGATAATTCCTCACTAGAAGACCGTTTCACTCTATTACGTATTAAGCTTCTGGATCAGAAGAAGTCTGTGACTCCAATGTAAGAGAGTTGACGAGAAACTACGATCACTCTTCATTGGGAAGTATGCAGACGTCTGCCTGTCGGCGTCCATTGAGGTGATACAGCCTAATGAAAAATCGTGTTGGTACGCTCCTATATTAATAGTTAAAATGGTTTTTATTGTTTTCTCTATATTTGCAGTCATTTTAAGCCGTTGTAGTTCAATGTGAACACTTTTGGTTTGTCGTCTTGCATCTAGAATGACTTCCGTGTCTATTAGCCAAAAGCTTCCTGACGTCAACAATACGAAGCTTACCTTTCTTCAGGGGAAGTCTTGTCTGAGACGCAGAAACTCTTAGATTATTTTAGAGAACATAAGAATCCTTCTCACCGAATTTTTCCGAATTACCGATCGTGCAAAAAAAATTGTACATATCTTAAGGTTTTTTAAAGTGCCTTCTTTAAACGGTTAGCAATCTCTCACGCACCAATCACATTCTTGAGACGATACAACACTTCCCTTTCTCCTACGGTTTCCCGAAGTTTAGTAATCAATAACGCGGGCACTGTTCGTCTTGCGGGCAGAATGGTGCGTCAAACTTGCTAAGAACGAAGTACTTCCAACTTCAAAATCCTCCACGGAGCAAAATACCCTCTGGGTCAAGGATGATTACTCTTAACCGCGTGATCACTTGATCTCTAGCGAGCAGTTCTACTTAGTACTACTGTCCATAAGCCTTGCTCTTCGGTTCGTTACGTTTGAAAGACACTGCTGGTGCACTGATTCAAGCAAAAATTCGTTTGGAAAACTCAACTAATGGGTGACAATATATGCCCAGTTTGTTCCGAGTTTGACATGTCCAATCCATATCTTTTCCGCCTCTTCCTACACATCACCCACATTCCGTGGAGTATCTATCGCAATTCTGCTCATCTTTACGAAATTCCTATACGTCTGAAATTCCTGAATGGCATACTAGGGTTCGGACAATAGTTTTTTCTAATTCTATTTCCTTTGCCGCCTTCAGACGTGGACGAAGATGTTCTTAACCGATTACGAAGGCTTGCCAAGGGCGCAGCAAAGAAAACCGTGCAGCATCCACGTCCAAAGTTAGATCCACAAATGTGAGTTTTTGTAATGTGATCTGAGCTGTGCAACTGCACTAGATATGCAGTTAACACGTTTTGGACCTGATATTTCATCCCCATTGTCATATGGGAAGAGTAAGTCTCTAGCTCTGTTTTAGTTTGCGAATTTGCGATGGCTCGTCTTCGAGCGATTTAGCTCCACACGACCGATCAAAGTATGCTGAAGTGTTTTAGATTATCTTTCCGTTGTCCTGCACTTACACCACCTTCAGGCCCAGTTTTTGAGCTCGAGATAGCTCAGTAGTTATAGCGTCAACTTACTTTCCGTAAGTTCCATGATTCGAAACTAACTCCGGCATCTCGAATGCTGTTGTCTAGACTTGAACAACCTGACAGTACCACAGGCTTCAAATCTCCTTCAGATGTCATAGCAGTTAGGCGCCGAAAAGATGTTACAGCTGAGCGATTGTATGTTCACGTCACCAAGCTTTACTGGTGTCCCAAGTTCGACGACCACAGTAGTGATTGACTCCAGCTTCACATGTTTCTGAATTGCGACTGGCTCCCCCGTTGAATTTTAAAGCTTGGTCATTGTTCGGTTTTATGACCAACAAATTGTAATGTGCGTAAATGAATTTTTCTAATCTAATTTCCCTTTTCGTCCCGTTTTAGTCTCCTAAGCGATAAGGGGCTACCTGCCTTACTGGAAGACTTCAAGAAGGTCCGTTTTCGAGGAAAAGGATTCGAAGTAGGTCTTCACTTTACTGTATCTCTTTTATACTATCGTCGCGTATGAAATTCCGTCAGAATTGCACCGCTACCTGTAAGGGACAATCACAATGACTACACATCTTCGCTGTGCTTCAATTTGTTGGTCTTATGGTAACTAGGCTAATATGGCGACCGGGGATTCGATGCAATGTGCCGTCACACAATTGAAACACCAAGAGCCAGTATGTGACCTTAGACTGAGCACTTTAGCTAAACCCTTAGTGTGAAACGAGCCACAAGGCGCAGAATCACAGAGCATCATCAGAAAGTAATGTATGTAAGTAATGTATGTTGATCACTACGGACCAGCCTTCTTTATGTTCAATGAGTTGATCGCATTCCTATCAACCATACATTTCTGTGAAACCATAAATGAAGACGTTTTGGAGAATCAATCGGTATCAGGGCTGCTTGCGTGCAGTTCACCTGGAGTCCTCTTTTCAATAGAGCTATTAGCATAGAATTCACACGTACCATAGTGTTCTAGCTAAACATGACCACATGCGTGGTCATTCATCGCGGATAGTACTGATGAATCGATGAAAACTCAGGTGAGTGTCTCATTCACTCTTTTTTTGTCTACAGCGCCACAGTTCCCTTTGAACAACGCTTCAGAATTTTGCAGTATCATGTAGTTTATTGAACCCCTTTCACAAAGGGTGTGTTGGCCAATAACTCCCTAGTGCATTTCACCTTGGAATGTTGATTTTTCGGTGAGATGAAGCAGTAGTATTTGCTATGGAGCCGAGATAGCTCAGTGGTTAAGGTGCGACTGACTGGAAGGTCCGTGATTTGAACCCAACCTCTGCACCTCGAATGCTCCTACCTAAGCTTAGGCAATTCGGCAATATCTCAGCCCTTTTGCTTGCTTCTGGTGGCACGGCAATTAGGCACCAAAAGAGTGTTCCAGCTGAATGACGGATTATTGATTCAACATGGCGGAGAGGAATTTCCATATTTTCACCAACACCCCGAGCGGGTCTGTCTGATTTTGTAACATCTCATTCTGCTACCCTTCGTCATCGTGTTTGGTATGTCTGGACATGTCTCTAAGTATCGGCCACCCGATCCCTACTAGCTGATGTTGTCTGAACGATTGTTCGCCTGTCAGTCTTCCTATGAGAGAGGAAGTTGTTATGTAGGAGTCGATAACCCAACATACTGGCCTCCGTGAACGAGTCAGTCTTATCAGTTTTCTGCGACAATTTATTTGAAGCTTATTCTGGTGTGCGCAAACAGTAATGTTCCATTCAGTCACTAAAGCAGCCGTTTTCTCCTTTGCTGCCGCGTCTAACCTGTGATTGTAGTAGGAAAACGGTGGCGAGCCTCCAGAAGCATATCGAAAGCCTTATGCGAAGCGTACCACTGTAAAGTGTGTGCACCGAAGACATACTCGTGCGAAATGGGTGATCAAACGTGTTTAGTCGTTGAGTTCTCACCGTAGAGTAGTCAAAGCTTACTTTGGCACCAGTCCATCTTCATCCAGCGATTTATTTGGCCCATCACACATCAGTTAGGCCTGATCAGGCTTGCTAGTAGACCTCTGCCCAACATTTACACGAGAAATTTAGCTGCTTATTTATTTATCTAAGCTGTTATCTTCGTCCATAGTTTCAAGATCTCGATCGTCTGCTGTTCGTTTACGAAGCATGGGCAAACCGCCTTTTGTCAAAATCCAGTTTTCCAGAAATCATAGAACGACTGGAAAAAGTTGGCACTCGTCGAGAAATTCAAGTGGCATTGCATCGTCTGCGTAATGGTATATGGCCTCCTTATATGAGTGTGGAGCAAGTGGAAGATGAAGAGGACTCAGACTTGCCAATGAAGGAACCGGGTCCGCCATCAGAAGTGGAGGATGAAGAGGCAGCCTGGGAGCGTGCTTTACGTACGATGCCTGCGGCTTCTGAGGTACAGTATGCCCTCTTCCATGAATTAGTTGTGGTTGTTTGTGTCCTGAAGTCAAGTCTTAGTATCCTTCTGTTTATTGAATAACTTTTAAGCTTCTGCCTATCTAAACCATAGGACTGTCTTGTTACATTCGGTGATCTAAGAGATGGCGTGCTGCTTCTATATTTTGGCTGATAAGTAAAGCACTCGTCAACCGTTTTTTTTAGTTTCATTGAACTGGAGGCGGGCAGCTTTCTCACTCGTCCCACCCCATTTCACAAGGTCTCCGCCTTATCTGTCCACTTTACTGTGCCCTACCATCTAAATTGAAGTTAACGACTAAGCCCAAATAAATTTCACATTTCCTTCAGCTCATGCCTGTCACTACTCCTTCGCCATCACTCTTGAATTACGGATCTCCATTCACTGAAGAGCCTCCGGATACTTTTTCTGGTCAATCTTCTGCCACACCGGCAGTCTCCGAAGAAGATCGGGCTGAGCGTAACCGGCGTTTGGCTTTGGAACGACTGGCGGCTCGAACTTCATCTCAGGGAGGACAGCTATCTCAAACAAAAGCTACTCCACGTACGTTTTTCTGTCTGGATCGCTTGCTCTCCCAGCATGTTTTGAATAGTGTCAGTCTCTCTTGTCTCAGTGCATCCTCCGGATAAGCTTTACTTATCTCTGGTTCAAAGTTTGGACATCGGTACTTGTCCGAACTTCCTTCCCCAAGTGTATCAATCGATCTTACGAATGCCAAAACCTAATATTTGTGAATACTCTTCAGGTGAAGGATCGAATCCCGCTCAAGCTCTTGGAACGTTGTTCATGGTTCTGAACACGGATAGGACACCAATAAGACTCACCAATAAAAACTCAGTAGTTGACTATTCACAAACTATGTATTCTCTATCGTTTTCAACGTCAGTTCACCAATTATGTCCAACCCCCATTCAGAGAGCAAGTAAGCTGGCTACTTGACCCACTGAAATGGTCTCCAGTTTTACATTTAGGAAACTAAACCTCGAGGGCAACCTGATTTCACGAGCGGTTGGTTTCTTAACAGGGAGCATTAACTACTGAACGCATCGGCTGATCACGTGCAGTGAATGGGTACTTTTCTCAAGTTTCTTTACTGTAGATGCTCAGTTCACACCTTCAGCCTTCAGGTCCCTCCGTCGATGTAACACATTGTAGTATCAGGTCCTTTTTGTGGTCACATTGATTCAAATTGTGGCTATTTTGCTGCGGAATCTCGAGATTTAACCTTTCTACTCCTTCGAGCCAGAAATTTTACGCTCGGCTTATTTTTTTCGTTGCAGGCGCTCCATCCGTTTTGAAGAATGCACTAAAAGCCACCCTTCCTCTTCACACCTTGTCCAAGTTACCCGAAAATGATGAAACTCGTCAGGTCAGTCAAGTCGAAGAAAACCCAGTTCCGCCCTCCCTTATGGAGATGGATATTACTATGCAAAATGCGTCTGATAGCGTGCTGGTGGACATCTAGCGCACTCAGTAATTCATTTACCTTTCTGTGAATGTTGACCTTATCAAATCACCTATATTTTTGTACAATATATGTACCACAATAATTTTTATACTGAACGTCGTTCTGAATCTTTTTTTGGTTGAACAATTCCCCACGATCATTTCGTCCGGCATTCACGTGATTCAAGAAACAGCATCTAAAACGTATAACAAGTCAACTGGCCTATGTTAATTGACACAGGCTTATCAGTATAAAGACTCGTGGTAAGCATCGCTTGCATAACACGTTCACCAGTTCTGTTCGCCGAGCTTGACAATTTGACTGCAAACGTCCCCTCATCAATCGAGTTAACATCGTCAGTACAGGGTCCAGTGGGTAAATTCCTCCTCTTGCGCCTCTGCTTATATAGTTTCTCAACAGTGTCTAATAACTCTAAAATGATTGATTGGTCCCGAGGCGGTTTTCGCGTAATTTGGCTGGTCAGTTGGGAATCTGAGTTGCGTTGTGATCTCATTTCTTTGTATCATCATCATTGTCAGCTGTGCTCTGCCAAACATTTCCGCACGAAAATCTTCACTTGAAACATCCTGCAAAGATCATGCACTCATAAAAAGCCAGTGAATGTCGCCAATGCGACTAGAGTTTTTTTTATACGTCACAATGCGTAAAACGCCGTTATCACTCAGAATTTAAATATGTCCAGCAGAATAGGTTTTCTATTACTATCTGGTTTTTTCAACCCCGCATGAACTGGAGAAAAGTTCGCCTCAGATATTCGACCTTCCCAGTTTACATGAGCGCATCCACGCACCGTTAAGTTCATCAAGAATGCCGTACCGTCGTCTAAACCTGCTGGTGACACATCAGCAAGTGCCTGGGTCCGCCGAAGCCTTCGGGGCGTAGGATTTTCTAGACGGCTAATCTAAAAATCGCACACCTCAAAGTGTATACATGTGAATACACCTTCAGGTCATATAACACACTCATCTCACGGGCTCATCAGCAATGTCTCATCACAACAGGTAATCAAGCCATCGTAACGGCTTATTGATATACACTTTTGTGACTTTTTTATTAGGTAGGATGGAAGCTGAACGAGGCCAGTCTTACAGGTTCATTTGATAAGCGAATACCCATTCATCCTTACCCTTACTCGACGGTTTCAATAGCCTATCCCACGGGGTACCCCTTGGACCTACGAGCTAAAACAACCAAACCGACTGATGCAACTTGGAACCCCACCTAGACGAAAAATAGTGCATTTCTAGGACTAACTTTGATGCAGACTCGAGAAAACTCAACTGATAGGTTTTACGTGAAAAAACATGGGAAGGTTTAATCGAATGCTTTAGGAAAGAAGCTATCTTCTGTCTTAGAAGGATGCCTTTATTTGTGAAAACATTGGGGTGTTCGCAGTTCATTTCGTTCCTTCGTGTTTAGAGGGGGCGAGAGTGAGACCATAACCGAAGTGATTTTAGATAAGTGAGGACTCATATTGGTTGCACTTTAAGAGATTCATCATCATCGTTGTCAGCTGTGATAATCACCTAATTGTCGTTAAGTGTTGTAGCTGCCACAGTTTCGTTCACCGATGATTTGGGGAGGTGGGGTGGGCAGCTGCGCATTGGAGACCGGAGCTGATAAATTGGTACGTAAGTACAGCCCTGTCAGTGGACTGTTAATTGGGAAGGGTACTATGCAATCAATGCAATAGCCTGGATGCATGAGCGCCATTGAGGGCGTGATCGGGCCGTCTGACAATGTCTCTAACCATTGTGGTGGGCCGTCTCGTTGTCCCCATCCAGGAAGACAACAATGACCAGTGCAGCTGCTTTTGCTGGTAATGACTTTTATATTTCGCTTCCAGGTCATTGTATGGCCACCCTTAGTGTGGTTGTGCGAAAAGAGCTCTTCGAGGAAGTCGGTCGACTGGCAGACGCAGCATGTGGCCAAGCCAGCGCAACCTACGTAGTGTGATCAGTTCATCTATCGATGGTGAGTTATTTCTCCCGAATATACCATTCGACCCGGTGTTCTAGCCAGATTCAGGCAATGCTCCGAAGACATCGATGGTCAAACACTGAAAGTCTTTTGACGTCCTCGGCGCGCAGCGCCAGGTCTCAGATCCGTATAGTAATATGGAGCGCACGGCAGCATTGTAAACTCGACCCTTGACAGATAAGCTTACGTCACGCCTACGCCACAGGTTCACAAAAGCTGCTCTGGTCCTCCCAATCTGGATGGAAATATCATCTTTTGGGAGACCACAGGGACTGATAAAGCTACCTAGGTAAACAAATTTGTCTAATAACTCAATCGGTTCATCCGAAAGAGTGAGGCTAAGATTCGATCCCATCTAGTCTCGCAGTAGCACTTTACACTTATCAGGTGTGAAGCGCATTCCGAACAGTGAGGCCGAATTATTTAGATTAGTTAATATTGTTTGCATTATCACGGGGTCCGATCCAAGAAGAGCCATGTCGTCTACGTACTCGATATCTGTGAGGGGACGCCCGGGGAGCACATCAACCCCACGGGCATTAGATGCTGGTAGTGAGTCTTCCATGATCGTATAAATGACGAAGTTGAAGAGAAAAGGTTAGAGAGGGCATCTCTGTCTGACCCCATTTGATGTGATGAACTCAGGCGAGAGCTTCCCATAGACCTTCACATGGCCGCGGGAGTTGGCGTGCATCGCTCTAAGGAAAGTCAAGAATTTGTGGGGGAGACCTTTCCTCCAAAGACAGCGCCATAGTGTCTGACGGTCCACAGAGTCAAAAACAGCTTTCAGATCAAGAAACACAACCATTGTTGGTTGCTGGGAAGAGTGTCGCCTTTCCAGAATCTGTCGGAGGGTGAAGATATGATCGATGCAACCTCTTGCAGAACGGAACCAAGCTTGGTTTTCATGGATCTGTCTCCCTCTGTGTTCAGTCAACCTTCGAAGGGTAAGGCCAGAGAGTACCTTCGACACCACAGCTAACAGGCTGATGTCACGGTGGTTTTCACATAGCGTCCGCGTACCCTTTTTGAAGATAGGGATAAGTGTCGACATGCTCCATCCTGCAGGCATCTTATTTTCGTTCCATATTGCACCAATAGGCTTTGTCAGATGGGTTACCATGGATTTTCTGCCTTCTTTGAAGAGGTTTGGATACAGGCCGTCCGGTCTTGGTGCCTTCTCACGCTTTAGTACGGCTATTTCGTAACTTGTCTCTTCTTCCGAATGGCGATCAAGGTTTACATCCCATTCGCCCGTATGCATTACTTCCACTGATTGTGTTGCATGAGGCCAACCGAACTGCTCTTCGAACTGTTTGGCCCATCTCTCCAGTCGACGTTGTTGCGCGTGAATTAATGAGCCATCTTTTTCACTTATCGTTTCGCTGACCGTTGCTTTCCTAGGGCCAGTCAATCGTATCAGTTGATAAAGGGCATGGCTGTTTCCCGTAGCAAAAGCCTTCTACATCTCCAGAGCTTTTGATGTCCACTAGAGATTCCAGAGCTCCCTAAACTCTTCACTATTTGGCGTTTGGGGAATTTGCGTGCACCGTCGAACTCGTTGCACGCTGGTATGGCTTTCCTGGCATCAGTCATGGATAGCGACCTCGACGACATCCATTGGTCTGGTTGTAGAATTGGAGAAGTCGGGCAGGCAGCTCTGAACGCCGCTAGTATAGCTCCTTTCAGATTTTGCCACGCTTCATCCACATGCTCACTACCACCACAGTGTTGTTTTACTGTGGAGAGTTGTTGGGCTAGCTCAGATCGATACTGTTGAGCTATGGCAGTTCATCGAAGCTGGTGGATTGGCATGCTTCTTGCCGACTTGCGAGGGCCTGAAGGGAAATGAACTGTCAAGCGTGCGCGCACCATGGAGTGATCGGAATCTAGTGGTGTGCCCCAGAAGGAACGGCAGCCTTGAATTGTGGCTCTCCACCGGTGGCTGATGGTCACGTTGTTCAACTGGATCCACGGTTGATTTGCAGTTAGTGGCCACCGGGTAGCGCGATGTGAACATTTATGTTGAAAGTTCGTATTTGTCAGAAACAGTTAATGATCAGTACACAACTGAAGGAGTCGATCTCCGTTGTCTGTGCTGCGAGCATCGACTCCGAATCGACCACCCAAATGTGGTTCCGAGGAGCTCAGACGACCTATTTGGGCGTTCAAATCGCCTGCAAGGATCACATTGTCAGTGCTTTTCGCCTGACGAATGATCCCGAATAGCTCTCGATAGAAAGTGTCCTTCTCCGCATCAGAACTGCAGTCCGTTGGGGCATAAGCCAACACTACAGACTGGCACCGCCTTCTATGCCGAGAGGCATTGAGCTTGATTGAACTGGATAACGGCGCAGAGATGACTGTTCTCTGGGATCCAATCCAGCAAAGCGCGTTCAGCTCTGGGGCTGAGTGCAACTCCCACGCCATATATTCCACGAGTCATCGCTTATGGGTCACCGGACACACGGAGGGAGAACTGTGAAAGAGCTGAGTTCATCCTTGGAGTTCTGAGATGCAATGCCTGTTTGCCAATTTGACATAGAGTACGGACGTTAAAAGCTCCCGTATAGAAAGGATCTCGTGGATTTAGAAAGGTGTTATTTTGTTTAATGTTTGTAGGCAGCGTGGAGCATAAGGCCCTTCGGTCAGATGACTGACAGTCAAATGGCCCAGCGACGTTTGCTTGTGCGGTGGGAAGGGGTTGGGGAGGGACATCGGTGGACGCTGAACTGCGCGTCTGGTTCGCTGGTTAAGCGACTTTAATTGCACAGTTCTGTTCCTCCGTTTTGATTGGGCCGTTTCCTCCTTGCTTTATTTTCTGAGTGATTGATTGGTTGAATGGCCTCCTATTTTTAGCAGCTCTCTTTTTTTGATCCGTTAGTTTTCGTTACGTTTTTTTTATTTCCCATGTGGTTTACAGTCATGTAATCTTAATATTGCCTGAATGAGTGTCTGGAGGTGTAAGCACCTCAGACTGGTTGTGGTTAGCTAGCACCAAGTCCCTTCCCGTCCATTTTTCATTCTTTCCGTCACAATAAAGCTTTCACTGTCATTGTTGTACGGCAGCGCGGCATCAGTGTTAAACACTAATGTCATGTTTTCTATGATGATGTTGATGATGAACCGCTGTTCATTAGTGTTTTCAGGTCACACATAAAACTCACTATGATGTGGTCAGGGGATGAATATCATTTTCAGTGGACCGTTGCCGTCGTAGTTCTGCGTTTCCGATTAAAGCTTTTGGAAAAGTACCTAGCAGGGTGGTCCACCTATACGATGTAAGGCGTCCAAATCAATTTTATAAGCAAATCTTTATGCTTATCATTTTGGACTCATGATGCTATCGGGGTCGAACTCAAACCACCTGGCTACCACAATATTTCTTATGACCACCACTCTGTAATAAGGGATAAACCGATCTAACAAGGCACAAGTTGAAGATTTTTGATGGGACAATACGACAGAATCGATTTGCCACTTTTGGAAATAATTGTACAAGTATACTCTTATATGTATATATTTATATATACTGTGGCGTTAGCATGCATATTTTTAACCCGTAACCAGATTTGACCGCAATACCTAGTTCGGTCCACTAATTAGTGCGCGCACCCATTGATGGGTGCTTATTGCTTATTATAGAGTTTTGGCGAACACCACATTAAGTCTTCTCATTAATGTCTAATCAATACTTAACTGTGCACTCACAGAGCTTATTGGGTAGAACAAATCCTACCTACTTCAGCAATACGCAATATTTGTCAGTGGTTGTATTAAGCATAGACAGAAGCGACTGAGCGGTGACGAGATTCAAACGAGTAAGCATGCAGAATTATAAATTTCGTGGTTTATTTTATTGAAGTCGTTGGCTCACCATCAATACCTTAACGTATCGTATAACCTCACATCAGGCATTTCGTCTGATGGGATTTTAGCGCCCTCCTATAGTGGATAATTTAGTTCGGATAGTTGTCGCGGAGCGATGTCTCCGGAGAGAGCTAGAATAAGCGATTTCAAAAACATTGGCCATTATTGCATACACAAACCTAATTTGATGCACGACCCAACTAGTGCTTTTCGAATCTTCAGTGAGTAGCACTGCCAGTGTAAATCGTGTATTGGAGTGAGATGTTTGTCGTTCTGTCGAACGTCCGGGACCGAAAAAGTTACTGAGCTTTCAGTTGTAATTCGTTAATCAAGATTTTTAGCCAGATGTTGGTTCAGTTTATTACCTCCCTTTTGCGTAGCACGTTGTTTCGTTCGCGTCAGGCCCAGTGGTATGCCTATATGTTAGATCCGGTTTCGGCGAGATGGCCCAAGTGGTTAGAGCACGAAGTTACTGACCAAAAGGCCCGTGGTTCGAACCCCACCTCTCCCTCTCGACTTCGCCTGTCTAGGCTTGGGCAACCTGAAAGTATCCCAGCCCTCATGCTTTCTTCATGTAGCACGGCAGTTAGGCACCGGAAGGGTGCTACAGCTGAACGATATTTTTATTTTTCAGTTTACTACCAAAACAACCGGGCAGGTGTGCCCCGATTAGTAGGACAGTCGGTCGATAATTTGAGCTCGGCTGCCGGACCATTATGACTGTCCAACAGTGTGATCGGGCGTCACAAACTACCAAACTAACCAGACGGTACAGTGATCTTCACTCCACCGTTTCAGAATGAGTAACAGGGAGTGAGTTATCCGTCCTGATACCAACGGTCATTTTGTTTTTCCCATACTTGCCTGAAAAAGATCCAGCTTTTGTACAGCTACCCAGTGCAGCTAAGAAATTTAATCGCGTTTGGAAGATTCCTGAGATTCTCCATCTGAATTGAAGCAGGAGTGTAGCCTACTGGGGTCCATATATTTATGGAGTAGGAACTTATGTGCTTTTCGACGCTTTTGTTTGCTAAAACATGACACCTACCTGGCTGTAATGATTGAACCAACACCCGAAATTACACGGCAGCATGCTGCCAACGTTCAAAATGGCAACAACTGGTATCATTTTACTCCCTTACTGGGGGCGGCGTGTGTACACATTTTTTCAAGACTTGCGTCGGCATCTAACTGGAAGACGTTTATGCATAGATTAGAACTCTGGACACGGAAATGGAAGTATGAAACACTGGGTCTTAATTATCCATCCACCGAAGCCGTGAGAAAAAGTAGTTAATGGGTTGCAATCTATTTTACTCTCACCAGCCGTCCACGTAAAACACACATCTCTGAGTTAGGCGCATTGAAACTACAGTTTAGAAAACACGTGATGTCATTCATAGATAGCGGGGAGTCGGAGCTGAGTTCCAAGGTGTTCCGAATCAACGACTTTTGCCCACATAGAACTGGCTGCCTCAGCTTGATAGGTGCTACCATACGCTAGCCTATGTGGTGTTTGATTGCGTACCCAAACAGTGAACGACTGTCTGGTCTTGCAAGTGTTGATGCTGGTTTCGGGGTCGTAGGGTGACCACCAGACAACCATTGTCTCATGAAGGGCATCAGGTATTTTCATAGGTGTTCTGTGATTCTACGAAAGATGAGTCGGTCTGTTCTGCTGATATTTGTCATCGCAATGGCAGGTGAACTGATAGATGAACTGAGATGCAGAAGGGCCGTTCCCTCCAGGTTTGTTAATTTGAAGTCACAGGGCCAAAGTGGACAAACTTATTATCTGCTGGGCGGATGGAACACTGTGAGGATGAGAGACAGTTGGCTTCTGTTTAATGCTCGCAAACGTTTGGTTTGCTTCAGATGGTAGCCTTAAGGAACCTACTTTGGTTTCGACAGTATCAGCCGAGTCCACTCTAGCTTTGTGCATAGAAATTCATTTTGCAGTTCATTGTGGGTACAAATGTTTTCTCTCTATAGAACGGTGCCTCGACTTGGCCGCGTTTGTGGATCCCTGAGACAAAAACTGCCAGGTGGACATGCCGACTACTGATCCAGGTTGTTTTTGCGGTTGACAGCACAGGTTAATGTTATATCTGTGACATCCTTTATCTAAAGAGGCTATGCCAAGCAGATTCGCATGTGGCAGGATAGAGCAGACATTCATTTGCCGTTCGAAAGCGCAGTCAAACTCCCAAATGCTAGCATCCGCTGAGGCAACGCCGATCAAGCTAAGATAGCCGGTTCCGTGCTCAAAACATCTGTTTACTTTGACACAGCTCCGACTACCCCTTTGTCTCGGAATGCCTTCACATGCTATTCATCAGACCATAGTTCCCATGCGGTAAACCTGTACATGTTTTACGCTAATGACTGGTGAAAGTAAAAGAAATGCCAACATCTCATAAAATATATTTTGATGAAACGGAAATCCGTGAAATTAACCAATGTGCTACCCAGCCCCGTTTCGTTCTTTGTGCAGCTGAAGTGGGTTTGTGAAGGCGGTGCAGCTCAGTCAATATTCAAAAAGTCTTCCAGTTTAAATAACCTGAAGTTCAATACCTTTGGCTTTTTGTTGCGTGCAGTTATTAGTAAAGACACCCTAACTGTAATAAACTGTCACTATACGTGAATCAGTCACATGTTGCAAAAGAGAATGTCCACCCTTTAGAATAATTTATCTCAGGACGGGAGAGCTGACTTTGGATGCCTTCCCAATCTGTGAAATGAACTAACTCTACAGCTGACCACTACTGAGCCAACACTGACAACTTTTAAATGCTGCAACGGTTGCCCCAGTGACCAGAAAACGAGGTATTTTAACAAGGCGAAGGAATGTAAAACAGCTCTACCACGCTCAACAGTTTGCTTCTGTTTCCTTGGGTTGGTCATTCAGCTGTAACAACCTTTCGGTGCCTAGCTGCCATGCCACCCAAAGGGAACACAAGAGCTGGGATACTACTGGGTTGCCAAAGCCTAGACAGAGGAATTCGAGAGGCAGAGGTTGTAGACCTTCCGGTTAGTAAATTCGCGCCCTGATTACTTACTAACCTTCGGTTCCGAGTACGGCTCGGATAAAGACTTTACAAGCAACGTACCACGTCACGTAGTGACTGTACTTTACTGTTTGCGCGCCTTTATAAACCAGTGAGCTAAACCAGTCGCATAGTCTCCCATTCTTGGTTGACCAAAGGTTAGAGGTTAGATTAACAATCTCCTAACTCGCCAGCTTGAGGATTAGAACGTGTGTATACTCCCCATTCAAGAGCTGGACTATTCTTGTAATATACTGACCACTGCTGTCTTGTTTTGGCTTCCTGACGGTGTTGCAACTTATATGTCGGTACTTGGCTCAACGCTCTATCCACAACGGAATATCAAAGATACGGTGGCTTGAAAGGAAGATCATAGAATGTGCCACAAGGTCATTTGCTTCGCTGTCACCTCACATGGTGAAGCTTCCTCACTTTGCTGGTTCCCCCACTGCATCACCCGCTTCTCTTGAGACAATAACAAAAGATTAAGTGTAAAAAATTTAAGAGGGAATACTTAACTTACAAAAATGCGGACGAAACCAATCTGACTAAAGGCACAGATTCGCTTAAAGGAAAATACTCAAGTGACCCATCATGCGCAGTACCACCAAGCAAAGCCTGAAAGGGTCAACCGAACTAAACAACAGGCAATCCCCAATTAACCAGTTGCATCTGCAAGCAGGTGCATACAAAGCGAATGACATATCACAGATTCCGTTGTTGCTTTATTCGAACCTGATACTAAGGGAACACCGTAGTTCGATATTCAGTAGCAGGTACCCACCTAACACGGCTTGTTTTAATATACGACGTCTATCTAGTCGGAAGAAGGCTGATGCGACAAAGCTTAAACTGTAGTCGGTGTTCTGATGATATTAAACTGAAGTTCGACATGATTCTACCAATTTGTCCCAGAAACGTGGGATTCTGCTCGCATTGTCGCTTGGTTCTGAGTTTGGTACCAATCAAGGCTGCATTAGGGTGATCGATACTCAACTGTTCATCTGAATTCTACTTCTGAGTGAAACGTTCTAAATGCCTTCTGGTTAGTTGAACAGTAAGCTTGTTGTTTTAACTTGGATGACACTTGTCGAGTTGGAACAACCCAGGTCGTAGGCATCAGTTAATTTCGGTTGGTTTCCATCTTGTTAATATGGTCTCTTTAAAGTTGGTTCGATAAATGAGATGTATCTTGAAAGAAATTTGTGACCGCATGTAAGATACTCCCTAAGTGGGTGATCGCTACATAGGAAACACCATACGCCCGGAGCTCTCAGGGCGATAACTCAGTGCCAGTGTGGTAACAAACCTCTGTCTGCAGTTGTCCAATAATCCCTCCCATTACTGTATAATGCCTAACAAGACTGCAGTGGATGTGATAAAGAGAACAAACAAAAGAGAACAAAGTTCATGCTTAGACGTGGCACATTACTCAGTGTTGGTGAAAACTCCTCGATAGCCCACGAGTGGTTTCGCCCTTCCTACTATGGCTCACCAGTTAGGGACAGTTTTTGAGTTTCAATCAACCTTGAGTTCTACTTGAACCCAATTTAGACAAGCTTCGACAAACACACTCAGTTGAATACCAGTTTGCTTTTAAAGAGTGACTCATCTGAATCCCAGCTGAATTATCACAACCAGTAGATTCGGCTGAATTTCATGCTTTCTGATACCATAGTTTATGATTGTCATGCAATCTGTGGTTACTTTCCCCGGTAACTGCCCTCGTCGATTGGGTTACAAACTTTGCTATTCGAATTGATAGGCTTCATGGGCCAAGCACATCGATCGTTGAATAAAAAAGTTGCTACAGTATCAGAGTAACTCAATTTCCCTGAATGACCTCATGACACACTAAACAGTCAACTTATCGCGTGATAAATATGCAAGTGGTTAACTATTCCTTATTAACTCATCGGCTAACCTATTTCAAACTCAGGCCCGACCTAAAACAACACCGAACCGTTCACTTTAAGACACCCATTAGGATGTGGTTTCATCCCCAGTGGCTACTCTTACAAAGAGTGAGGATGCTTTGATATGGCTAGTAAGACGTCTTGAGCATGCAAACATGGATGAGTTAGATGGAGCGACTATTGGTTCTCCCTACTTTACTTTGATTTTCTACTCATTTCACAGTTACACAAATGGATCACAGCTCATTTTCTCCTGGTTCCTAATTAGTGTGACTTGATTTCTTGGTGCCACCGTGGCGTTAGCGTTGGGGCTTTCAAAAACGGATTTTTTTCACCTTCTACTGCTCCTTTTTTTCAAGGTAATTCAAGGTTTAATGGTCTAAAAAGCAGTTAACTTTACAACGACCATAGGGTGAACGTATATATACAAAGGGACGCAAAAATATGCGTAATGTTTGCTGAGTATCACATGGAGTTAAACAGTTCCAGATTCGGTTTGGACATAAACTATGCATCTAAATTGTTCTTGAAAATGGTTAAGCTCGGCGAATGTACAACATTGGGAGGTAGCGAGTTCCAAATGAAACATACACGAGCCGCAAATAGTTCCGTCGACAGTTCACCCTCGGGTGAGGTACCGCGAGCGAAAAGTCATGCCTCCTGCCCGTTCGTGGTTGATGTCGGACAAAGAGATTTTCCAGCGGATGATTAAGTGTCTTCAGTATATTGTATGTTAGAATTAGGTCTCCCCTGATGCGCCGATAGCTTGTATAGCGTATTCCATGGTTGGTCGGATGTAGGTATTGATTACTCGGGGCAGTGCCAGTCGAGTGAAACGACCAAAAATCCGTTTTAGGAGCGACAGGACTTGTGAGGTCCTCTTGTAGACGGCTGTGCATTGCAAGGAGTTTTTTAAACAGCTGCTGACCCACACGCCCAGATTTTTTTCTTCACTAGTCCAAGAAAGTGGTTGTGGACCCACGGAGCATTTTACATTTTTGGAGGTTAAACGGTAGTCTGTTTTTCAGTGACCAATCATAAAGTGTGTCGAGATCTTTTTGTAATCGGTGACTGCCTTCAATGGTGCGTATGCTTGACCATATCTTGATATCGTCCGCGAATAAAGTGATTTTACTGCTCACGAGCTCAGGTATATCGTTTACGTATAATAAAAATAAAGTAGGCCCAAGAACGGAGCCTTGGGGTACTCCACTTGTAGCTGCAATTGGCTTGGACAGAGCGCCGTCAACACATACACGCGCGTCTCGGTCAGCCAAACAGATTTCAAGCCAAGCCAGCAGCTTTCCCGTAATACCATAATGCTCGAGTTTTTGTAACAATATGTTATGGTTCACGCGATCAAATGCCTTGGAGATGTCTAGATAGCATGCGTGAACGGGATTTCCATTGTCCACAGCTTGCGTCCATTCGTCTAAGGTAATGAGGAGATTGGACAGACAGGATCTGTTTTTTCTGAAACCATGCTGGGCAGCCGTGAATTTCGCTCTTTTCTTCAGCTGACAGTGTGACAAAAATGCATTGGCCATGTTCCGTCCTAATTCTCCTCGAGCTCTCAATCGCATACATCAAAGCGGAAGGTAAATTATTATAGCTATGATCTGTTCGAAATTTTTTTTTCTATGCACTGTCGTATTCATAAAATTAGTCACCAAATTTGAGGTGGGGCTAATCCTTGTGCTCCGCGTCACCACACTACTATATTGGACCACATAGGTATTTGTGCCAGCTTATGGTGAAATGTTTTGGGCAGAACTGAACCAGACGGTCACAGATACCACACCACTCGCCAAAAACTTCGTGGAATTGCTTCTGGGTGAGTTGCTTGTCCGCAGGATGATTTGGCCTGATACATTTCTGTGTACATCATTTGATTACCACACTACTGCTGGCTCTGTCACAGAATACGCGATGAAAGATGCACCAGCAAGGAACGCTTAAAGGAGGATGTGAAAGTTCTATGACAGTTGATTTCAAAGGTCTGTAATGAAATACGCCGGGATGTAAACTACCAACCGAGGTACTTCTTCCGGGTACAATTAGCATTAATTTATGTAAACACATCCGAAAACCTAGTATTGAGCTTCAAAATGCTATGTCCAGGGTGGACGGAACTAGATAAGTTGTTGACCAGTTGAACGATTATGACAAATCATATGTGAAGTTCCTGCGCGTAGGTGTGACGTGGAGCATTTGCACTTGGTGGCCGACTTGATGACGCATCTTCCTAGAAGTATAAACTCAATAGTTCGTGCCCACCTCAAGGTGCCTTATACACTTATATTACCTTACTTGAAATTCGCATTTCCAAGATTCTATGTGGTCGTATAAGAATCAGTTGGTTTTTTTTTGTTATTCCAGCTGATAAGATGAGTTCCAAACGGGTATGATATATCTGCGTTAATTTCAGTGACAGTCCTAATGGGTAAATTCAACAAGTACTAGATGGATGTTGTCTCAAAAATTCAAGCCACTGTTCATCCTAAGGCATGTGCTTGGCGTCGTTTGAAAGAACCAGACGTGTATTATCCTTACTCTACACATCACCAGGTATGGGACCCAGCATAGCGTTTGCCGTTCTGTACACTGTTGTGTCACATAAAAGCTGATTGCAGACGCTACAACGGAGGCCGAATTTGATAACTCAGTCAGTGTGGAGTGGGAAACCAACATATCCAGTTTCACTCTACAAACTGCCTGAAGTTCCGGAGTTTCCGATCTGGAAAAAACCGCTGCTAGATTCCCGTACTTACCGCTGCAACCATCTCCGTGTCCATTCATACCATATTATGCGTCCGAAATTCAATAACCGGTAGATGTCCTGCGCATTCCGCGTTGACGGGCTTAGCTTTTTTGTCAGTACTGGCGAACGACAGAGCAGGTATTATTCGTAATTCCCTCTTGCTCAATCCCTTGTGTAGGTGATGACTAGCCGAGTTCGTCGCTTGCCCCCTCATGAAATGAATTCACATTAACTGATTTTAGGGTTTTGAAGATACCTTGGTGAGCGAGACAGATTGCTTCGTGCAGGTAGTTAGATGTTTGCTCGCCACGAGTACGACGTGCGTTTATTACCGAGTTCGACATACCCAGGCGCTGCTCACTTCGATATGGGAAATTAGATTCCACCTAGATCTAGGGAGTTTCGTTTTTATGGAGATTTTCTAACTGTGAGTTTTACGTGCACCTTCTTATCGCGAACAAAATGTCGAGAAGGACTGTGCGTCATTTGCCCGGGAAAAAAGCGTGAATTACACTGCGTTGAATTACACTGCGGGGTCAACAGAATGACAACTGCAGGACAGGATGACGATTGTTCAAATGATAGTCATGTGAGTATGCGTTCTAAAAAATCTTACGACCACCAACACCTGAAATTTTGGATTAGTTGTGGGTGGTTGTGGAATGCACGTTGATATCACATTTTATGGTACGGGAAAAAAATCGTCCTGGAAGTCCAAAAAATACAAGATATTTTTATAGTTGGAGAAACTGGTTTGTTGTAATCAGAGCGTATGAGTTGAAATTAAAAACACTTGGTTGTCATAACGTACCGATCACTGTAGTTTCTATCCAGTAACTGTCAGGCCATGCCAGCTGAATCACCATTCACCTTTATCACACACACTCTCTCTTATGTATTCCCACGTTCTAATGATCACAGAACCGGAACCTGAAGATCCCAACCAACCCATTCAATTGCAATTGCTGTTTGGACTTGACAATCACACTTACGCAGAAGGGGACTTGACACAATCAGCAGAAACTACACACCCAACAGCATCCACTAGGGAGAAACAGGTGAAAAACTATCTGGAAAGCGATAAATCAGACGGCCCATCAGAAGCTGAATTTGAGATTTCTTCAAATGAAAATATTCTAGCAATCACCTCCAATATAACATTGCTTGAACAGGATCAATTTATTCGTGATCTGATGGATCAGATCAACTCACTATATGAATCTGCTCAGTGGATGTACGACGAAGCAGAACGTCACTTTAATTTGGCCGAAAAACTGGTCGAAAAAGCAGACAGAGTAGCAGACCGTGCCGAAGCTTCTAGAAGGCATCTGAGTGAGTGGATGCAAAGGTATGGTTTGGGATGGGATGTGGTAGACACGGAGGATGTCACAGCGGAAAACGTTGTTGAAGCAAATTACCTGGATGATCAACCGTGAACTTCTCTGACATTTGGCCTATTCGATGCAGATTTCCTCTCCGGCGATAATCGGTCGATTGTACAGTGAAAATTTGCTTTCCCTGACACGACAGAGAACAAGTTTCAGGCAGTAGTTCAACTTTTGTTTAATCAAAATGGAGACCGTTCGACCAAACCTTGTCTTCAGGTGTAGACAAAACGCAAAAGGTGTATTCTTGATTCTGTGCTAACAAGCATATATTACTGTTGACCTTGTTTAGAATCTATCCTAGAGAACAATGAGATTCACTGTGTCGTTGCTCGGCACATCGTGAAAATTAGATGCTGAATATTTAAAGGTTCAGTAGGTACATGCTCAGTAACAGTGAGGGTAGCGGTTAAGCATGCTGGGTAATCGGGTTTCCAACACCATCCCCATTCAGGTGAACCTTTTAATGACAATGGAACCTGAGTACCGCTCGTGGCGTAGATTCACCAAATTGGTCCTGCTAGAGCAGAGACACTTCACTGAAAATTACAATCTTCACTATGGACAAAGGGACACTATGCAATTGAAGAGACAGTGTCTTTGCACAGGATTGGAACCAAATATCTCTGGCCATATCTCCAAATTAATCTGATCCCAAAAACGTTGCAAGTGCTCGCAGATATAGCTCACTCGCGTTTAAACGACATCGTCTGGTAATTAATGATATCAGACGAAGTATACGTAGGCGGGCTCTTTCTGATATGCCAGCAAACTTGTAAGAAGACACGAAACTCACACAATCAAAGTCAAGAAAGAGCTACGTTTCACGTAGCGTTCGACCGCTTGATAACTCAGATTCTTCACTATTACTGACGTAGAGGTACCTGACAGTTAGACTATCTAATGTCCTAGGACTTTAGATAAAGCTTTCGTTCTCCCATGTAGAAGCCATATCAGTCAACCCAGCAAATTTGTTTTCATTCAGGAGCTGTAACTTCTGAATGGAGACCAAGTCTGTTCGAGGTAAAGTTGGCTCCACGTGCCAGCAAGGAAAATATTCAGTGTTATAACGACCAAGGAAGTTGCCAGCTAATTGAAAGACACCGAAAATTAAAGCAAGACGCTTAGCACGAAATTACAGCACAAGGTCTCTTTGGAAGCATAGTTAGTAGACTGCTAAGTCACTGTAATAAAAACAATACACTTTAGTAGGTTACTTTCAAATGACGAAGTAAGTAAAGATAAACATTTCGGCTTGACAGCAGAAGTGCTTAAAAGGTTCAAGCGGATCTCGGCAGACCTGTATGCAAGAGAGAACAACGTCAGGTAAAGCCCCAATGCAAACCTTCCGCGTTGGTTAAACTGTTTGAGAAAGACGAATAATTCGACCAGAAAAATTTCTCAAAAATGGCCCACTGCCCTTGGACAAACATTTGAAGCTAAAGAAAGGCAATACGTGATAATGGATTTAGTAGTGTAGGAAGGTGGCATTGACAGAGTCGAGATGATATTATGAAGAACGGAAATGTCTTCTCCAGATTAGGGTGAAATTCCAACGTGATTGGTCTGAGGCTGATTTTGTACACATTTGATGCCGGTAACTAAGACTTTAGGTCCGTTTACTCTCTGGCAAAAACCTGATCAAATCACTAAAAAGCGGTTTATGACAGGAAGCTCAGGGCACCCAGTGCTATTCAGCTGAGGAACATGGGAGTTGGACCTGTTTAGCGGTCCACTAAGGACTCTTTGGAGTGCACAAAATGACTCAGAGCTGAAGAAGATATAGGCATGTATAACACTGCCCGCATGCTTGCAACTAAATCTATTGATGTGTGTGGGAAATTCTTTATTGAACAAGGAAGGCAACGGAAAAACATTGGGATTCTCTGCAGAACTACATATCACTTGCTGGGATATTCCATGGTATGAATGAAGTTTGTTTGGTGTTGGACTGGGAAAGTAGTTATGTACCTAAGCAGTCCAATAACGGTAATGGCTTTGACCTCTAACAAAAGAAACAGCACCCAGGCTTGAAACACTGGAATGAAATTGGAAGTAGTTATCTTCTGTCAGGTTGGTTGTTATTTGTGGAAAATGCGATGAATCACGGGTTTTAACAGACCAGTCGTGGACCAACGAGCAGCTTTCAGCAACCTTATGTGTCGGGTGTTCCTTAAAACTCCTTTAGAAAGTCACCGTCTTACAAAACCAACTGGAATTATGCCACAGATCAACTGTCTTTCGGATTCAGCTTTGTGAGCGAGGTCATTTCAAATCCCTTCAGTCCTTTATGGTCGTTTTGTGAGGTAAAGGATAACACCAATGTCGTGGATGTCTGTTTGCTAGTCGGTGACACCAATGCACACGGTGTGGCATCACAAAACGATATCCCAGTTCAGGCATCTATGTTATTCGGGTCTCCGTAGGTTCAAGTTTTGATTGTATCATTTTGTCCATCCTCCTCTGAAGACACATCTCCGGGATGGTAAAACATAAAAACCACCTTTCTCGGCCTATAAAGGGCAATTCATTAGTTAATTGTTTCCTCATCGATGGACAGGTCGCTATTTTAAGGTGATCTGTCTCAAGTATACAAGTGTATAGTTATTCCCACTCATCAATTATCCTTGACGGCGATTATTCGGACCGGCATTAGCAAATGACCCTCCAAGAGGAAGAGGATCTGCGAAGAAGAGGAAGGGAGAATGTAAAGGCGACGAACTACAAGTGGTTTCATATGGAAGATGGCCTCTGCAGGGAAGAGACTGCAGCAATTTTCTCCCAAGCAGAAGAGTACCACGTTACGTGATCTCCATTATGTGAGGGGGACAAATGCCCTTTCAAGCCACCGTTCAGAAACCTTGCTGTTCTAGGACTACACTGAATACTACTGCACAGATATCTTTGGTACCAAGGGAACCCCGAAAACAGACTTTGTCGACAGACAAAAAGACATTGGTCTCAAGACCCCCTTCAAGTGATCGGAGTGAAGTGGACTTGATTGTAGAATAATGGTCTATTTTGGACAGCGTACAACTGTATTTCATAGTAAATGGTTGCTGGTCTGAGTTACCAAGTCCAAAACTTTAAGATTGGGGTCATTGTATCGTCATTACAATTACCACCTACACACAACAACAAACAGATGTGTGTGTCTGTAAACACCCCCTATATTCAAGCCGACTCAGGCCACATACAACATGGATGGAGCGGATGAACCAGCTATGGAGCGTTGTCAAGTTGATGTCGGTGCTGGATAGAATGATTCAGGAAGATGGAAGAACTCTTTATGTTTGCGGAGGTCTACAGAAAATTGCCCGTGTGTTCTAAAGCGTTATCGAATATACTCTGCAGTGTGAGTTTGAGCTGGGAGCAGAAAGGCGACAGTACATGCGTGTGCTGTCTAAGTTTCTGCGGACGACTTACGTTAACTCCCAGATGAAGACTGAGGTAGGAATCAATGAACAATAGAGTATGTGCAAATGCAATTAAAAGTGTAAATCAGCTTACCAAAGCCTTCAACGAAGTATGATCATCAGAACAGAATTCAGACCACTGATCTCATTCGTGACACATGGAAACATTGCCGAAATTCGCTAATAGCTTAGAACACATTTGTTAACCTTCCAACCTGCAATTATTAACGTATGTTTATCACACCTCAGCGACGCAAAAACACGGCGATAGCAACACGGACTTTGTGGCCTTTAGCATGACTTGGCTCGCATGGAAGACAGTGAAGCCTTCAGTTTAGTGGAAATTTCATGCAGGTTCTGCTGACCTGCAGGTGACCTTGCCCACATTATTGCAACTCAAGCAATGAATAAAAAATATCATAAAACTATCTTAAATACATGTTTTTCTGTTTCACAGTTTACACATTAGCATGGTTCGTAGTTTATTCGTCGCTTACCGAGCGAATCGCGTTTAAAATAATACAAATTGAGCAATTCCGTTTATGTCCCCGAGATAGGTTTCCCATAATTGTTGATACTGTCTGTTACCCTGGATGGTTTCATTGTGATACTCTGCTGGATCTCTAGGTTGTTCCATCTTTTTTGGCACTGTCAGTGTGTCATAGAAGACTATTGGAATTTGCATTGCAAATACCGAACGAACTAAGTGGAACATGATAAGGGCCAGGGAAATTTTAGTTTCTTCGGTCCGGATGATACAAGCGACTACTGTTGACCACCCAACACACATCAGTGTACCCACTGTTGATTATTTTTAATAAAAATGAAAAAAACTGTGCAATGCCTTACGGCTTTTCAGCATAGTTTGGCCCCATTAACAGGACAAAACCCAAACCCAAAAACCACGAGATCACTTCACACTACTAACAATCTGTAAGTACCTCAGAGGAATGATAATTCACACGATGGAAGTAACCTCCATTTGAAAAGTCGTCACTCGAGGAGCTAGTCAATAGGTGTGACAAAATGATGCGGTTCTCGTGATTGGAGGATGAGTGGCGTGGGTCGAGGACTCCCTGAGGCTTCATCAGATGCTCACTGCTGATGTTTCCCACTAAGAATGAGACAGCTGTGCAATGTTTCTCGACTTTTCAGTATAGCCTAACTTCACCAGCAGAACGAAGTTTCCACTGAAAATTTCCTAATCTTTTCACACTACTAACACGGTTTGCTCATTACACTCGGAGGCAGAACTTAGTAGAGCACTTCTACGTTCACCTAATTATTCAACAAACACTTCATCTCATTCAGTGTCGTAAAAATAATTTCCCCTCTCTAAATTCGATAAAGTATTTTCTGACTTTCAACTTTGTTCTGGATCGGTATTTTCGGTGGCATCGTTCAGGTTCCCTCCAATATTGACTGCTATTTGGTAGATATAACTATTTCCTGGAACACCATCTCACTTGACACTCGCTTTAAGTGCCTGAAACCATTGTCTCGCTGACATTACCAAAAACTTGATGTCTTTAACTGACTTGTGTCAGTTTAATGACACAACAGCGACACCATATCTCCGGGCACAGTCAACTTCTATGCGTCACTCCACACGGATCCCAGTCGAATAAGTCGGTC